ATAAATGTTACCAATTAAAATAAATAATAATAAATAAATGTTACCAATTATTTTAACATTTGAGATTAATTACAATCATCCTATTAACAATGTGTTAAAAGTTTTTAAGACTTTTGAAAGATTGATTTAAGACATTTTAAGGCTAATTAAGGCCTTGTCTTTGGATTGATGAATCCAATGCCTTTTAAGACTTTAAGGATCTGCAGGAATTCAATTACGCCCAACCCTAATCTGTTCCARGGAAGTGAAAATTATAGGATTTGTTTAAAGACAGGTCAAATTAAACATGAATGTATCAGATCGACCCGAGCCCTCCGCCAATAAAATGTCCAGATGCTGCAGAACAAAGCCATGACGCGTACATGTGGTGCCGACTAAGCTGTTTCACCACATTAACTTCCCTAAAGAAACAGCCTTCAACAATGATTCTCTTCTGCAACGAGCCAATAATGAAAAATAACGACTTAATGTAGAAAACAACGGAGAAGAACTAGCGCTGGAGTCTCGTCATGACACCGGTACTGCGCAGCCGCWGTTAGCACCATGTGACTGTTCTCTGCGTACAATAAAAGCCTAATTAAAACATTTCGCTTGAACTCGTAGTGACCCTTTAATACTCAGCGGTCAGYGCTAACAGTTTTACACCGAGTCACGGACACCTTTCGGGTCACCGTACCGGGGTTTACGGTCAAAACGTGTTGGCTCACTGTTAGCATCGTTAGCGTTACACCGAGCCAAGATGGCGGCGAAGCTCGCAGTTTGCTCTGCACGGGCTTCTAATTAGAGGTTCTGCTGGGTTCTACCGGATCCTGTGCACTGACCCTTCGATGTAGCTGCGGTCCAACAGGAAGTCGTTCAGAACTTTCAGACCGGAGGCTGATTTCAGGTCACCGAAACCCATGATGAAGAGGAGCTGAGAAAAGATGAAGGAGCAAGACTCACTGAAGGAGAAAAGAAGGAGGAAGCGGGAGGAGCCGGCTTTATACCCGGAGATAGACTCCTCCTCAGCGGACACCAGGAGGAGGAGGAAGGAGCCCTTAAAGGGCCTAAAACAGAACAATTTAACAAAATCTATCAAGGCTTTAACTTTAGATGGTATAGAAAGGTTTACATCGTTTACTTTTACACTCAAAAAACAAATAGTTGGATTTATCAAAAAGAAAAAAATAATTAGGTCCTCTGGATGGGTTCTTTTTTAGTGAAACGTTTCATCTCTCCACCAATAGACTTCTTCAGTCTGATGAGTTTCAGGTGAACTCAGCCTAAGCACTGCCTCCACATGATGGACACCTAAGAACCACAGCATCCAAACCAATAAGTCAGGTGATGGGGCACACCCTCTATGTTTGAACAATAGAGCCAGCCAAGCCTATTGTTAAGTGATGGTCCTCTTTTGCATGTGACTAACCTGTTTGTCCAGGTGGAGGCAGTGCTTATAAGGCTGAGTTCACCTGAAACTCATCAGACTGAAGAAGTTTCTTGGAGGAGAGACGAAACGTTTCACTAAAGAAGAACCCATCCAGAGCACCTACTTTTTTTTCTTTTTAATTTTTCTAYCTGGATTACTGAGATGCATCARGACATARTTGGATTCACTTAACCTAGTTATGTCAACAATTTCCGTTCAACTGAGTTGAGTAAATGTAAAGCAACATTTACTGTTGGAAAATGTGAACGTTTCTTTACACTGAAGGACTTTGTCTCATGTGAGCTCAACYACCTGCAGCTCAATGTGACAAAGACTAAAGGAGCAGGTGGACGGACTTGAGGAGTGACCCCTGTGTCCATCAGGGGGTTCAGTGTGGACACACTGATAGATTACAAAATATCTGAGGGTACATTTTGACAAGAAATTGGACTGAGTTAAAAATACAGCTGCAGTCCAGGRGTGTCAAACTCATTTTCACCGAGGGCCACATGAGTGTTATGCAGTGGCGGCTGGTGGATTTTTCTCCAGGGGGCCCTCGAAGGGCCACTTGTAATGAACTTTGACATTTCATGTTTAACTTTGACTAAACAGTGTTTTAACACTGTTTAGTCAAAGTTAAACAGTAAGTTTTACTCACTGATGAGTTTCCAGTGAGTAGCTGCATTATGGCAGATTTAGTTTATGGTTGATGCTGACCTTAAAGCAGCTTATTTTCAGACATTAGTACTGCTCTATCCAACTAAATTGCTCAGTTACTTAAAGTCAACAGCTCAGGGGCAGGACAATTGTTATTATCTTTCACCTTTTCAATGTATTTTGTTGCAGTTAATCACAAATTTAAAGTTTACCATTGATATAAAAACAATTTTCATGTTTAGTTAAAAAAAAATTTTTTTGGGGGGGGGGGTCACCTTGAGTTTGACACACGTGGTCTACAGGAAGGGTCAAAGTMGTCTCTACTTTTTGAGACGTCTGAAGTCCTTCAACATCTCCTGGATGWTCCTCAGTATTTTCTATGAGTCTGTGGTGGCGAGTGCTATCCTTCTGTTGCATGCTGGGGGAGCAGGCTGAGGCTGACACCAATAGACTCAAAAGACTGAATCACAAGGCAGATGATGTGGGAGAAGAGCTGGRCTCTCAGAGGAGGATGCTGTCAAAGCTGCAGGGAATCATGGACAATGGTTACCACCCTCAACAGCCACCCAACAGCTGTATAAAGTTGGTGCTTTATGCAAATAAAACCAAACTTGTTTTTCAGACRTTTCTCCCTGATCTCAGACAATCTTAACATTTCTACCTCAGAAAAAGACTACCAGTAAATATTTGGGTTTTTGTTTGGACGATGATCTTTTGTGTGCATATTAAATAAGTATTTAGCAAACAAAAAGAAATTAAAATAAGGTCTGTTTTGATTTGTCAGGACAAAAATGTGTTCAGGCTACATTTAGGTCTTGATTATGGAGGCACATTATTTATAATTTGATTTGTTGTTTGAATTCTAGGTATCATATTTCTTGACGTTTTATTGTGTTGCAAACATTACTGTGTCTATTATAATATGGTATCTAAAAAAGACACCTAKGTACCAAAAGAGACAACAGCATTGATTTAATAAAGCTAGTGTAGTTTTTTTTWAATTCTTTCATCCTCCAGTCTGCCCCCTTTCAGAGTTCCCAAGATGTTTTCTGAATGTTTATRTTGAGAACCGTGGTCTTGAAACAATCTTCAGACCAAACTAAAAATTTTTATTTTTGTGTCTTTGGGAGTTTAAAGTTCTGAAAGTGAAAATCAAATGGCAAACATGGCATGAGAGCAAAATGGAAGAAATGTGACCTGAATTCAACGTGGAGTGACAGAGCATTGATGTAAAATGTTCTATGACCTTTGACCTTCTTGTTTTATCAGCAGGGTAGCCAGTTGGTCTTTTTGAGTTTACATGTTCTCCTCGTTCACATGTAGGTTATTCTGCTTGTTCCAGTTTTCTCCTAGACTGTAAACATTCATGTTAAGTTCATTGGTAATAAATGTCTCTAGATGTGGCTTGTTTGTCTGTGTCCCTGTAGCTGGACATGAGACCTGTCCAGGGTGTCCCGCCTCTCACACAGCAGGCTCCCCGCCTCACAGGTCCAAATGAGGGCGTGTTCAAGCCTGCAGAACTAAAATGCAGTCAGACCTGCACGTTGGTCACCTGACCTGCTCTTGCTGTTCTGATTGGTTGTAGCCCATACAGAGCTGGCACACCTGAGAGGAGTTCTAGGTAAAATCCAGTCCATCCTCAGGCTGGTTCTGATTTCTGCAAACAGAAGAAGAAATGGGTCAGAATTCCTCTTCATATCCTCAGGTAAATATTACACCTGAGTGTTCAGGTTCCAGCTGTTTTCTCTATGTTGTTATTGTTTACTGATGTGTTTGTGTCTGTAAACATCATTAGTTTCTAATCAAACCCTGTCCTGATGATCAGGATCTGTAAATCAGTCCAAACGGAATAGTAACAGAATCAGAACCATAGACTGAACACACCTGTTTGAACTCATGTTAACCTGCCCACCTTTGTCCAGGTGATCCTCATGGGTCTGGACTTTGCAGGGAAGTCCACTCTGCTGGCCAAACTGCTCACAGGAATGGTAAGTAAACTGCTCGGTTCTGGCTATTCTCCTGGGATTAAACCAGACTCTCCTGAGGTTAGACCAGACTCTCTTGGGATTAAACTGGATTCTCCTGAAATTGGACCAAACTACAAACAGATTCACTCTTAGACTCAATTCATTAGAACTGCACGTTGTTTTTGCATAATGTGAAAATATAAAACATCCAGACAAGAAAAATTTAGTTGGATCTGAACCGTCACTATTTATTTAAACTAAATTAATATTCTCCAGGTGCTGCCTCTTACAAGATCTGAAAGTTTGGACTATATGTTTTAAAACCTGGTTCTTCAGCAGCCTAAAGCTGATGTCTAGATTGTTTAAAAATTGCAGTCTGTTAATAACCTGGTATTTCAAAGATTTTCTTAGATTTGTGGGGAAATGCACACACACTTTGGTGAATATGATCAGATTCTCTGAGGCTCAGTTTTTATAATTAAACTGCAAAAAATCTCTTATAGCTTGGAGATATTTATTAGAAAACGTTCCTGGTTTAAAAACATGAACATACTTTTAGATCATCCTGTGTTTTAATGATCCGGTTCTGTCATGATGTCAGACTTGGGTAAAACCTAAACCAAGTTCATGACACTGAGACACTAGCTTTGCAGTACAGAGTACAGGTGTCTTAAGCGTTCTAGGTTTTCCAGGTGTCTCATTTGAAACCGACTCTGTTTCAACTTTCAGGTGATGGAAACGTCACCAACTGTGGGCTTTAACGCAGGAAATCTAGAACTGGACAAGAAGACATCTCTGACTCTGTGGGATGTTGGTGGACAGCGGGGCATGAGAACCAACTGGAAGTGAGTTAATGCATGCCTGAAGACGGCAACAAGCAACTAAAAGAGTAACTCAGGTGAAATATGTGTGCAGGTACTACCTGGACGACTGCAGAGCCCTGGTGTTCGTGGTGGACAGCAGCGACTCGACTCGTATGCCAGAGGCTCATAAGGCTCTGAAAAAAGTACTTAGTGATGAGAGGCTGGAAGGAGTTCCTCTGATGGTCCTGGCCAACAAGAAGGATCTGCCCAACTGCATGACCATACGAGAGGTAGGAACTGTAGGAACTATGGGAAGTGTTTCTAAGTGAAATATATTTCATTTTGTCTTTGACTTTTGAAACCAAAACTTTGCATATTTATAAGCAATAAAAAATCAATGTGTCTTCTACCATCACTGCTCGTATAAAATCAGTTTTTGACTCACGATAAGTTATCAGGGTAAGCCAGGAGAAACTGTCCCAGAACATGTGTTGTAGGATTTTCACTGAGATTATCTCAATATTTAGAGCAGAGCTTGACTTTTTCATTTAAACTTTGTCATTAAAGATCTCCACACGGTCCATCTGAACCAGCAAAACTCACTCTCGTTGTTGTAGTTGGGTGACAAATTGTGTCATTTTATTCTCAGCTTTGTGTTGTTGCCGAGCCCTTCAGGAATCAGGGCGAACTTTTCTTCCTCTGCTTAAGAAATTATGTGATTGGTCAGAAGTTTGTGAGTGTGTTTTGTTAAAACTGAAAAGCTCTGACATCTTTTTATTTAATTTATTTATTTAGAAGGGACAATGCACATGAATTGACATGTCTGTAAATGTGCAAGAGTTAGCCAAAGGCTATTTTTCATCTGTTGTCCCTGCTTCTTTTTTTTTTTTTTTTTTTTTTTGCTTCAACTATTCACCTTCCAGACGCTGGCTGTTGTTCGTCCAAACAACATGGAAATTTTTGAGGAGGTCTGAGGCAATCTGTCCGTTCATATGTATGACTCTCCACACCCTACTTAACTGATCTGGTAGTTTTTCAGAAGTAGAACAGAACTTTCCACTAATACCTCCTTACTATTTGCCCCAAAATCTGAATGCAAGCGTTGGGGTAACTGAGCCTTTTGGGTCGCTGCACCCAGACTGTGAAACCAACTCAACTACCTGAAGACTTACACTCCCTCACTGGAGCTTTGTTAAATCTAATATTAAAGGGGACATATCATGTAAAATGCTCTTTATTTTAACCATTAAATATATTTTATTGTGTACTTGGAGCCTCTAGGAGTGCAGAAAAGTTTAATTATGACCCCTATATCTATAAACTAGATACCACATAGCGGTAACATAATGGTTAAAGTTAGTTAAAGGAAGTTTTTTAGCTATTAATTACCTTTTATCGTGTACTTGGAGCCTCTAGGAGTGCAGAAAAGTTTAATTATGACCCCTATATCTATAAACTAGATACCACATAGCGGTAACATAATGACCCCCGCATGCACAAATGCACCAGAACTCAGAAGTCTTTATTCCTAATAAATGTCATGCTACTAGGTGGATCCCAAAATTGTAGTTGCTTGGGTGGGGGTCTTTTTTTCGTGGGGGCGGGGTGGGCATTGGTTGACCTGATGGATAGCTCTTCATCAGAGCTAAACAACAAAAGAAGTCTGAAGCTCCTATGTTGAACAGTTTCTGAGTTATAAGCATTTTTGCATGTCCTGACACCCCCACTTTGAAAGGAGCCCCTGCCTCAAATATGGGGTCCATTGTAAAACCGTTGGCTGGCGCAGTGTACGTCAGACTCAACTACAGTCCTACCAAATTTCATGTTGATTGGTGCAGCTGTTTTTGTGCTATGGTTGACCAAAAATTACTGGGGGAAAAACCAGTAYGAAAACAATATGACTCCTGCTTACGCTTCGCATGCGGGGGTCATAATAAAGTTTCTACGTCACTATATAGTCGTAACCCCCTCTGTCAAACTGGAGTGGAATGGGTCTAGAGAAGCTGGAGTGGAGCAGGGTGTGAAGCTCCTTGTTTGAATTTAAAGAGACAGCCTCAAAACAAGTTGATCTGAGACAACCCTCAGAAAAGGAGTGAAAGAGGGACTTGTGGAGTTACAATAAAGAGGAATTCAGACCAAAGTTTTTCAGTTTTTCAGTTCCACTTTATATAGACCCAAACTGGATGATTTAAATTTAGGTTAATTGATAACTAAATTGTCCCTAGGTGTGAGTGAGAGAGTGAATGGTTGTTTGTCTCGTTTGTCTCTATGTGTGGCCCTGTGATGGACTTGCGACCTGTCCAGGGTGTACCCCGCCCCTCGCACTGTGACTGCTGGATATGGGCTCCAGTGACCCACGCGACCCTGAAAAGGAAGAAGCGTGTACAGAAAATAGATGGATGGATAACTAAAATCTTTTTATCCAGGCAGGCTATTAAAATATAGTGGCTTTCTGGAAATTTTGTATTTTTTGTTTGTTGCAACTTTTGTACCTTTTTGATTATTGTAAATGGCTCCATAAATAAATGATTAATTGACTGACAAAGAGTTAAATGTCCAAAAACTCCTGGAGAGAGAGAACACAGACTGTGCACAGAGGAATCCCTCTGCTGACAGGTGTGGCAGATTTGCATATCTAAGTGAAGACTTTTTTGCGTTGGCAGCATCTGGCAGTGGCTAGCATTGACGTTCGTCATGGGATGATGTCATCATCTTGGCTAGCTGCTAACCCTGCTGAAGACTGATGGCTTATAGTGAAGTGTTATCAGCATTAAGATCGTTAGCAGTGTTAGCAGCCTCAGTGGTTGTTTTTGTCTCAGGTTGATGCCGTACAAGATCCAAGCACCAAAAGCAAAGACAGTGTTCCATTAAATAAAAACTTCAACATTTAAGGTCTAATTTTTAGATTTAGATTTAGAACAGGGACGACACGGTGGCTCAGTTGGTAGAGCTGATGCCTCACAGCAAGAAGGTCGCTGGTTTAAAGGGTAGAGTTTGCATGTTCTCTCTGTGCACTGCAGCTTCCTCCTACAGACCAAAAACATGACTGTTAACTAACACTGACTAGATGGATAATGGATTTAGATTTAAATTTAATATTTAAACATACACTCACCGGCCACTTTATTAGGTACACCACGCTAGTAACGGGTTGGACCCCCTTTTGCCTTCAGAACTGCCTCAATTCTTCATGGCATAGATTCAACAAGGTGCTGGAAGC